GGGACTAAATGCGCAGTCATAGGGCAGATAACAACGTTAATAAATACGAGGAAAAGACTAGGTTAGGTTAGGTTAGGTAGTAGTGGTTGGAGATTAGATACTAATTCCCAAACTTAGGCCACACATGGCCCCTTGTGATACCACGTGATCTCTGAGCAGATCCTTTTCCATAGCTCATGGGTTATTTGCTTTCGCGAACTATTTTGTTCTTTTTAGGAAACATACGAGTTTTTTAATGTTTACGCCTTGAATGGCCGCAAGGTTCGGAAGTGTGTAGCTTCCTAGGGTTTGAAAGCGCTTTAGGTTATGCGCTGGGCAGAAGCATTCGATGCTCTTCTCTTCGTCTATCTGTTTGCAGCTGCGGCAGAAGTCGTGGTTACTGAGTCCCAGCCTGTGCGCATGAGTCCCTATAAGACAGTTGCCCGTGAGGGCATTTAGGAGAATGGAGATGTCTTCCCTACTACATCGTAGGAGAGTTTTTGTTCTTTTAGAGTTGTAATTTTGCCTTGTGAGTCTAGAATTGTGGCATGTTGAGATTAAGATCCAACGGTTGTTGGAAAGTGTGTACAGTCTCTGCCTTAGATGGAGCTTGCAGGTAGCCATGGGCATACCCACCGTGTGCTTATCGCGAAGGTTGCCGGCGGTTGTCCCTTGTTTTGCTAGCTCGTCTGCTATGCCGTTGCCCTCAATATTACGGTGTCCAGGCACCCAGATGAGGTTGATTCTCAGATGAGTGGCCATCTTGTTAAGAGATTTGCGGCATTCAGAGATTGTTTTTAAGTTCGTTGTGTTGGAGTCGAAGGCCCTGAGGGCTGCTTGACTATCCGAAAAGATGAAAATGTCTATGTCGTGATGTTCTGATGTGTCCAGGCGGGCCATGGCTTCCTGAATTGCGATGAGTTTCGCTTGGAAAACACTACAGTGGTCTGGTAGGCGGAATGAGACTATTATGTCTAGTTCGCGAGAGAAGACTCCCCCTCCTGTTTGGGAGTTGAGCTTATAGCCGTCTGTATATATGTTGACGGCGTTTTCGAATTGGTGTAGGAGGTTGTCCCATGAAGATGTATTAAGATCTTGTATTTTCTTTGGAAGTTGACTATAGGTGGAACGTAGTCTGTACTATGTGGTATGGATGTCTGGTTTGTTAGGATACTGGAGTGACCCGTAGAGCCTGTTGTCCATGCCGCTGCTTCTCGGAGCCTCAGCGCTGTTCCAGATGCCCAGCTTTTGTGGTGCTTCAGTGGCGGTGTTGCGGAGTGCCCCACTGATGCAGAGTTCTGCGCTTCTTTGGATCTTGTGAAGGATCCTGAGGTTGCAATTTTTTTCTAGGGAAAGCCACCATACGATGTTTCCGTAGAGGAGAATGGGCCGGACCATTGCAGTGTATAGCCAGTGAACTATCATGGTGGAGAAACCCCACTTCCTCTTCCACTTCCGAAGAGAGCTATGGCCGCTTTGCGTGTGCGATCTAGGATGTTGTCTGTCCAGTGGAGCTTTTTGTCAAGGATGGGAGGGTTAGGCGCGTTTGGTGCAGTTTTTGGACAGTTAGATTTTGTATCTTATACTTCCTTGTAAAACGAACTAGTTCAGTCTTTTCTGGGTTAACTCCCAGTCCACAGACAGCCGTCCACCTTGAGAGGGTGGATAGGGCTGTCTAAATTAGATTGCAAAGAGTATGCGGGAATTAACCCTGCAGTAGGATAACCACGTCATCCGCGTAGGCTACCACTTTAGTGCCAGCCTCTTCTAGAAGTGATAGTAGTTTGTTGAACACTATAACCCATAGAAGAGGTGAGGGGTGAGGGGTGCCTCTGCTGAAATTCCTGGTCGAGTGGGCTGATCCCATAGTGTGTATGAGTGTATAAATACTGGAGAGTGGAGGGCAATATCTGTTGATCTGCCCTTACGGTAAGCGTGCTGTGCGTTAGAGAATAGGCTTGGGTTGATGGTTAGCCTGATATGGATGTCAGTTAGTCTTTCCAGGGTCTTCAAGAAGAAGGAAGAGAGACTTATCGGGCGAAAGTAGTTTGGATTGGTGTGGGAGGTGTTGCCGGCCTTCGGAATGTGGTTTAGAGCAAGGAAGCCATGGAAGATGGATGTCAGCCAGGGTAGGGATATATCTAGTGTTGTAGCGGGAACGGGAAGAACCCGTTCGGGCCGGGGGATTTGAATGGCTTAAAAGAGTTAATAGCCCACTTAATGCGGTCAGGGTTCGAGATGTTGTCTAGCGTGATAGAGATGTTTCCTAACTATGAGCGAGACGCATTAGAAAAGACCAGGGTCATTTCACAAGCCATAGACACAGGTATCGCACGCCCGGTTAAACAACGGCATTGGTCAGTATCACCGGCAATAGAGAAAATAATGTTTTCCGAAATATATAGGATGCTAAATCTTGATATTATCGAAGAATCGACAAGTCCGTAGAGCAGCAACGTAGTTTTAGTGAGGAAGGGAGATAAATGCAGACTTTGTCTGGATTCACGCGTAGTTAATAGCGTTACCCTCAAAGACGCTTAACCCCTACCCCACATCGACGGAATCTTGAGTAGACTACCTCCAGCCCATAAGCGGAATTGATATGAAACATGCTTTTTGGCAGATTCCATTAGAATAAATATCCCCGCAATACACAGCCTTTACTATTCCAAATCGATCAAATGTTAAGGTTTTTTACGGCACACTAAAACCAGACCCAGATAAAATAAAAGCAATAATCCTTCAGAATGGAACAAAGCCGCTGAATCTTCGTTTGAAGAGTTAAAAGCTAAATTGACTTCCGACCCGATCCTCAATACTCCAGATTTGGATAGACCATTTTTGCTAATTTGTGATGCAATTTCGTGTGGTATAGGATGTGTGAAGTAAGTAAATGAACACGAAGTTAACTAGTTTGACGATTTGGGTCCAATAGTAGATTTTACTGCAAAGGAATTTTTATTCTTGCAGTTTACCGATCTTTTTGAAAACATAAGGGACAAATTTGTTCACAAGAGAACCGAAAACGCAACAGGAGACTAAAAGGAAGAACAATAATCCTGGAAGCTATGGTTTCCCAATGACTTGGTACCACAAATTCTATATTCATGACGCACCAGATGTGGCCCAATGTGGCATGGGAATGCTTGTGGAGAAACCAAGGCGTTACCTATTTTGGCGACGAATGTTTACCGATATTAGGGGTTATGTTAGAAAGTGCTGTGTGTGTCTCGCTACCAAAAGTTCCAATACAGTTATTCGACCTCCCATGGGAAAGCCAATGGAATTCCAGAGACCCTTTCAGAAGCTGTACATGGACTTATTGGGGCCATTTCCTAGATTTAAACCGGTAAGATAGGCTTGTTAATAATTGTAGACCATAACATGAAGTTCCATTTTCTCCATCTCTTAAAAAAGTTCACCCCCAATAAGATTTGCGACTTTTTTTTCCCATAAGTGCACCGCAATTTACTCTCCGCAAGCAAACGCAAATGAAAGATGAAAAAGCTTCTAGCGGCGATTAGAGCGTGTATAGGAGTCGATCACACAAACTGGGATACAAAACTAAACGAAATAAATGGTGCGCTTCGTTCTGCAATACACCTTAGTACAGGCTATTCGCCATATTTTTTAGCATTTGGCCAAAACATGTTGCTCAACGGGAAAGATTACGAACTTCTGCGGATATTAGATCTGTTAATTGACCACGCGTATTGATCACCGAAATGCCTTGAAAATTGCCAGAAACAAAAGCAAAAGAATCGGTGGCGCGGTCGTATTAGTTCAACTAATAATAATTAGTTCAACTTAAAGTAGGAGACCCCGTCTTTGCAAGAAACTTTGTTCAAAGTAACGCCGCTAAGAAGTTTAGTGCAAAACTTGCAAAGGTATTCATCAAAGCAAAAGTCTAACGGAAGCTCGGTTCCTCTTATTACGAGATTGCGGATGAATCAGGGAAAGAATTGGGTACATATCATTTGAAGGATCAGAAAATACAAAAACTTAATAACAATATGAAGAACAAGGAAGAACGATATAGTCGAGTACCTCGACTATCAGATACCCGTTACTCAAAAGGAAATGGAGATATGCAAGCAGCAAAGCGAAATTCAAATGCGCCACCTACCGGCGGTAGACAGATTTAAGCGTTATGGGCGTTAGAGTGGGCGTGGCAAATTTATTTTTGGGTCAATCGATAGGTATTGACGACACCAATACATACAATACAAAATTTTGTATCTAGCATGCAAATTGTGGGCGTCACAGGCTTTCGCGGTTTGTGGGCGTTTAAGTGGGCGTGGCAAACTTTTTTTGGACCAATCGATAGGTATTGATGAGAACAATACATTTCAGTTACAATTTTCTATCTAGCATCAAAACTGTAGGAGTTACAGTTTTGGGCGGTTTGTGGGCGTTAGAGTGGGCGTGGCATTCTACTGAAACAAACTTGCGCTGCGTAAGAAGCTCAGGAATCTGCACGCCAAATCGCAATAGCCTAGCTCCTAGAGTTTCCGAGATCTCAGCGTTCATCCGGACAGACAGACGGACAGACGGACTTGGCTAGATCGACTCGGCTAGTGATCCTGATCAAGAATATATATACTTTATGGGGTCGGAAACGCTTCCTTCTGCCTGTTACATACTTTCCGACGAATCTAGTATACCCTTTTACTCTACGAGTAACGGGTATAAAAATAAAGAAAAAGGCTGATTTTTCAGTAAATAACTTATCAGATGGGTCATGCGCTGAATTAACAGTGGTGTAGTAGCCGTCTTTCTTCTTAAGAGAAATTTTTTTTTATCTTCCTCTTCTTGGCCTGTCCTCTTTGTCGTTCAGAAGACAAGAGACAGAACGGCTAAGAACATTCGAGATCTCGCTGATAACACGCACGACGATTCAAAGCTTGCAAACATACACACAAGCTGCGGTCACCGAATTTCGGCAACGTCCCATTAGGATTCTGCTACGCCGAAACCTCGTGGCGACTCGAAAGATATGGTCAGAACCAAATTTTCTATCGAACGTTGCAGACTTGCGTTTATTGAAGTCACATTTTGTTGGTACAGTCCGCTTATTCTCAGCGACATAAGTACACCAAATCAAGAGAATTACTTATTTGTGCATCGAACAAGTTTAAATCATTGTGCCAAGAGGAAAAAAACAAAACATCTATGCCGACTCTTTTGATTCTGCTCTCCAGTTTTACGGTCAAGGTGATTACCAAAATTAAGTTTCTGCGAAGCCGTGTGCCAGTTTAAGAAAAATTCCCGGCCAGCCAGCAAGCCAGCTTTGCGCTGCTGATGCGCTGCACTGCCGCTGCTGACGCCTGGAAATTTCCATGCGTTGTGCTGAAGTGCTGAGAAGCTTATTATTAGTTACAATTCTTTTATAGTACAGGTGGTACCACTCACCAGCACTTGTTTTATTGGGAGATATAAATCAAGCGAAATATCGTAGCCAGTAGGGTGTATTTGTATGTTCTGGATAAAACGATGGTGTATTTGTATGTTCTGGATAAATTTGTATTGTATGTTCTGACTCACTGTTTCGCTGGTGCGGGCGCGCTTATCGCGAGCGGAAGTTGTTGTTGTGGAAGCTGCTAGGGCCGCGCTCACTTCCCCTCCCACTCCCCCTCCCGCTTCCCCTCCCGCTTGTCCTGGTGCTTGACCCTCTGGGGGGTTGCGCTCACTTCCCCTCCCACTTCCCCTCCCCTCCCCTCCCACTTCCCCTCCCACTTCCCCTCCCACTTCCCCTCCCACTTCCCCTCCCCCTCCCCCTCCCACTTTCCCTCCCGCTTGTCCTCGGACTCTCACTCTCGTTTGCGATAGCGTCCACTCCGCCCTCCCACTTGTCCTCTCACTCTCGTTTAAAAGTTATGTATGTATATATTGTTATCGTGAAACATTGTTGTGTGTATATATATATTGTTGTTATCGCTTTCCACATGTATTTATTTTATTGAAATATACTACATAAGTATTTTATCTCTCTTTCTTTTCAGATTTTTTTCGTCTCGCAAACTGGTATAAATATGAGATGTATAGTACTGGGGTAATTCAGAAAGCAGAAGTCAAATTCAGAGCAAGAACTCACTTACACTATTTGAAGAGTCTTTCATCATCAGCATTATAAGCAGCAGCAGCAGCAGCAGCAGCAGCAGCAGCAGCAGCAGCAGCAGCAGCAGCAGCAGCAGCAATATGTCTGACTTTGGAGAACAGTTTAACGAGCTTGGGGCCGTCTCTCTGCCCCCAATTAAGAGTGTTAAGGCTCTCCCGTTTGACACACCGATTGTGATAAAGAACGCTGAAGTGAAGCAGACACGCTTCGGCGCTAAAATTATGCTCACATTTGAAGATTTTGTGGTGTTCTTACCAGAACGCTTTAGTACTCTGTCATCGCAAGCTGTGGAGCACATGGCGACGGGGGGCTACAAGCTAGTCAAACTTAAATCAGAAGGGGATAATTATATTTTAAATTTTTGTAACGAATAAGAAAAAAATAAAATAAACTTTTTTTATAAATATTTAAAACAAAACAAAAACAAAAATGGGTGATGCTTTACATAACAATAACAATCCTGGGCCTAGTAACACAAATCCTGTCGCTAGTGAAATACGATATTGTGATGTCTGTAATCTAAATGTTGCTAAAATTAGTTGGTCGCATCACTTACGCACCAACTTGCATAAACAATTATCTGGTGCGCAAATAAGTGATAACTTGCGGTGTATAAGAAGTGCATTTCGGAATCGTATTGAAACTTATATAATCACAAATCCAAATAAAGAATGCTTGGATATCAATTTATTTCAACAATCAATCAAAGAACAAGTGATCACTCTACTCCAAGAAGCTCAAAAAAAACACGTCAATATCAAATTTAATTTTAAACAATTCTGTAATTATGTTTTGATTAAAGAGAATGAAGATCATTGTGAAATCAATCTAAAGTCATTTCAAACAAAAATGCAAGTCTTAAATCCAACAATGAGTCAGACTGAAAATCTAAATGAAATAATCAAAAATTTAAATGACTATATAAAAAGTGAGATGAGCGAGTTTCAAGAACGAGACAGTGGTTGGTCCCTAATTGAAATAGTTCATTTAGAAGTTAATATAAATAAATATCAGCCAATAAAGGGCTCGAATTTCATTGGTTTACCAAGAGAAATAGTAAACAGAAAAGCCTGCATCAACGTGCAAAATAGAGACGAATATTGTTTTAAATGGGCATTAATATCGGCTTTTGTGAAACTTCCAGTTAATAAGAATCTACCCAATCAATATAAACGTAAAGGCATTTACAACATTGGATCGGATATAATAAATATAAATAATAAATCGTTAAATTTTAGTGGATTAAAATTCCCCACACCGGTCGACAGCATAAAAATATTTGAAGAAAATAATCCTGAAATTAGTATAACTGTTTTGGGTGTAGACAGCGATGAAAAGACAATCATCGGTCCATATTATTTAACTAATAATAAAACTGGCAACGTTTTACACACTATATATCTACTACTTCTCGAGAAGGATGACAAATATCACTATGCTTGGATTAAAAATATTTCCAAGTAAGTATTAAATTACAAAATTAAAAAATAAAAAAAATTATATTTATTTCTTTGATTCTCCATTAGATTACTTCGCAAACAAATAACGAAAAGTACGAGGAAGATTCATCTATGCAATGGCTGTTTTCTACATTTCTACGTTAGCGACAAACTGGAACGACATATTATGGAGTGTAATAGAATTATAACTGAGATGCCTACAAATGAAACGGCGACTTTAAGATTTAAAAATTTAAAAAATCAATTAGATGTTCCTTTTGTAGCATATGCTGATTTTGAGTGTATTTTAGAAGGGATGAATCTGAAAACTTCGGATAACATAAATTTGATTCAAAAGCACATACCGTATGCATATAGTTATTATATAAAGTGTTCATTTGACAATAGTTTGGATATATATCGAATATATTATGGTGAAGATTGTGCAACACATTTTGTTGAGAGCATATATAATGATTGTTTAGTGTTATAAAAAAATAATTGACTTAGAACAAAATTGTAGTATATGCGGTAATATATTAACTGATCAATCTAAAAGAGTTCTAGACCATTGTCACTTAACAGGCAAATATAGAGGTGTAGCACATAATAATTGCAATTTAAACTATAAATTAGCAAAATTTTTCCCAATATTTTTCCATAATCTCTCGGCATACGATGCTCATTTATTTGTAAAAGAATTAATTAAAATTCCTGGTGATATTTCTATAATTCCGCTAAACAAAGAGTTTTATATTTCGATCTCAAAGAAAATTTATATAAATCCCAATGAAACGTTAGAACTTCGATTTTTAGATTCATTTAGATTTATGCCTTCCAGTTTAGACAGCTTAGCCAGTTATTGGGTGGGCAAGAAAGTCATGTCGTTTTTTTTAGTAATCGTTTTTAATCTAATTTATTTACGACTAATCGAGCACCAGGGTCACACTTTTTAGTATCGTTTTAAAGCTTATTGTCTTAGGTACTATCGACGAAAATTTGGTAATTATTCGATAACATTTGTGGAAGCTATAGCAAATTAAACATGGAGGACCAAAGTGAGCATTTTCGGCATATTTTGCTTTTTTACTTCCGAAAAGGAAAAAAAGCGGTCGAAGCTCGCGAAAAATTGTGCGAAGTGTATGGTAAAGATGCCATGAGTGATCGCCAATGTCAGCGCTGGTTTGCCAAATTCAGGCTTGGAGATTTTGGAGTTAAAGACGCCCCACGTTCTGGTCGACCATCGGCCGTTTTTGACGAACAAATTCAGGCTTTGCTGGATGAAAACCGGCGCTATTCAACGCGGGAGATGTCAGAAAGCTCAGTGTGTCTCATACAACGGTTGAAAACCATTTGAAGAAACTTGGCTACGTAAGCAAGCTCGATGTTTGGGTTCCGCATAACTTAAAGGAAATTCACCTAACTAAGCGTATCAACATCTGCTATTCTCTGCTGCAACGGATTAAAAACGATCCTTTTTTGAAGCGGATCATTACTGGCGACGAAAAGTGGGTTGTTTACAATAATGTCCAACGAAAAAGATCATGGAGCAAGAAAGATGAGCCAGCCCAAGCCACATCAAAGGCCGATATCCATCAGAGGAAAGTTATGCTGTCTGTTTGGTGGAATTGGAAGGGTGTAGTGCACTTTGAGCTGCTGGGACGGAATGAAACCATCAATTCAGATGTGTACTGTCGCCAGCTATCCAATTTGGCGGAAAAAATTAAAGAAAAGGAGCCGGCACTAGCTAATCGCAAGGGTATAGTCTTTCACCATGACAACGCTAGGCCCCACACATCTTTGGTCACTCGGCAAAAATTAACGGAGCTGAATTGGGAAGTGCTACCACATCCACCTTATAGTCCGGACTTAGCACCTTCAGATTACCATTTGTTTCGCTCTCTTCAAAACTCTTTGAATGGTAAAAACTTTGATTCAGATGAGGCTGTCGAAAACCACTTGTCTCGATTCTTTGCTGGAAAAGACCAAAAGTTCTTCGAGCGCGGAATTATGCAGCTGCCCGAGAGATGGTCATTAGTGGTCGAACAAAACGGCCAATACATAATTGATTAATTATAAGTCCTGATATAAATAAATCATCTTTGAAAATATTGAAAAAAAACGACATGACTTTCTTGCCAACCCAATATTTAAAAGAAGAAAATCTAACCACAATAAAGTCATTTTTCACGGACCCGAACAAATTTCAAATGGTTAAACGTAAAGGCATATTTCCGTATAGCTATTTAAATTCAGTTGAACGCTTGTCAGATACACAATTACCGTTGCGCGAAAATTTTTATAACCAATTAACTGATAGACACTGTTCTGAAGAGAGTTATCAGCACGCTCAAAACGTTTGGAATGCCTTCGAGTGCACAAATTTATTAGATTATTTATTATTATATTTGAAGGTAGATGTGCTGTTGCTATGTGATATTTTTGAGAATTTTAGAACAGTATGTAAAAAAATCTATAATTTAGATCCTTGTCAATATTATACAACTCCTGGTCTATCGTGGGATGCTATGTTGAAGACAACTAAAATTGAATTAGAACTACTCACAGATATTGATATGTATAATTTTATAATGAAAGGTATTAGAGGTGGTCTTGTTCAATGTAGTAAACCTCATTCTATTGCAAATAACAAATATCTAAATAACGATTACGACTGTGAGAAAGAATCAAATTATATTGTATACTTAGATGTTAATAATTTATATGGGTATGCTATGTCACAAGCTATTCCGTTTAAAAATTTTAAATGGCTAGAAGAAACAGAAGAGGGAAATTTTGAAAATTTTGATTTAAACACGTGCGTAGATGATCAACCAATTGGTTATATTTTAGAGGTCGATTTGGAATACACTGAAAACTTACACAGCCAGCACAATGATTTACCATTTTGTTCGCAGAACAAGAAAAATGAAAATATGCAACAATCAAAATTGATTGCAGACTTGACAAACAAATATAATTATATAATTCACTATAGAAATTTGCAGCAATGTCTTCGACATGGACTGATTTTAAAGAAAATTCATCGAATATTACAATTTGAACAATCTGATTGGCTTAAAAAATATATTGATTGTAACAATCATCACAGAACATTGGCTGTTAATGATTTTGAAAATAATTTTTTCAAACTGCTAAACAATGCAGTCTATGGCAAGACAATGGAGAATGTCGACAAGAGAAAATCAATTAGATTAGTGTCCAGGTGGGAGAGTGATGGTAAAAAATTGGGAGCTAGAGCACTTATCTCAAAATTTAATTTTAAGAATATATTGCAATTGGCCGATGATTTCTTTGCAATTCAAATGAAAAAAGTGCATGTTGTCTATGATAAGCCTGTCTACATTGGCTTCACCGTTCTAGAATTATCAAAATTTAAAATGTACAATTTTCACTATGACTATATGAAGCCGAAATATCAAGAAAATATAAATTTAATGTATATGGATACTGATTCTTTTATCTATGATATTAAGACTATAGATTTTTATGATGACATTCGTTTTGAAATTGATCAGCATTTCGATACTTCAGAATATGATAAGGATAATGTTTTTAAATTACCATTGATAAACAAAAAAAAATTAGGTATGAGAAAGATGAGTGCAGGGGGGATATAATAAAAGAATTTATTGGACTCAGAGCTAAAATGTATTCAATACAAGTCTCTAATATAAATAATGCTGAAACAACGGAGATCCAAAAAATTAAAGGAGTAAAGACGAGTGTGACCTCAAAATTAACTATTAACGATTTTCGAGATTGCTTGTATAAAAAAAATAAGCAAGTTGGAACAATGTACTTATTTAAATTGAAATTACATCAAATTTACACGCAAGAGTATACAAAAGTCACCCTTAACTATTTAGATGATAAGCGCTATATAAAAGAGAATAATATAGACACACTTGCATGGGGTCACAAAGATATAGCCTACTAAGTTAAGCTAAAAATAAAAAAAAATTTCCTTTTTTTTTATACAAATATATTACATTTTATTTTTTCGAAATAAAAATTTTAAACATAAATGACCACAGTTATATGTATTGAATTTTTGTTCATTTCTATAGTTATATTCAATGGGTGGTTTTAAATATTTCACAATTTCAATGGGCGGTTGCAAATCACCAAAACTATCATAGTATTCTTTATAATTTCTATTCTTGAAATATGCTACCCAATGCGTACCACTACCGCTTTCGTTATCTAAATTAATTATCCCACATTCGTTGGTCCATGGTTTCTTGGGGAGACGATCACGCATAAAAACACCACGAAAGTGTCTAAAATGCTGTTTACCAAAATCAATTAAATCAATATCGGTAAGTGCTTGTTTGGGTAGCATATTTATTAGTTTTTTGCTGAATATGGCTTATAAAATAGTCCATATCCTTTCTTATAAGGTTTCAGGAAAAGTCCTTTTCCCATCGCAATTGATTCCATATAGCGGTTATGACGTGTCGCTTCGGCTAATTGTTCTTTACCATTTTTGACAGCGTTTATTGCTTTAGCAACAGCAGATCCACCACTAGCAAGACCACCAACTGCACCAAGTGCAGTCAATATTGGTATCAACGGTAGGAATCCTCCAATTTTTGGTAATGGTATCACCCTCGGAATATTGGAGATATTATTCGCTAGACCTCGTCTTCGTGCTCGTTGTCCTCGTTGTCTTCGATGAAAACTAGGTGGGATTGATTGTTGAGATATCTGAATTGCTTCATCGATACTCGTAGGATTTCTTCGTTTCAAAATTCGCTTCGTTTGACTCACAATGCTTGCGAATGATTTTTTTCTTGTTTGTCGATGACGTCGACGTTGTTTTTTTTTTATTACTAGCTGGTTTCCTCTTACGTTGACGTCGACGAGATTTGTTTTTAGACATACCTAGACCGAATTTAACTTTTGTTTTCATAGCGTTAGTCACAAACCAAGCAGCAGAACGTTCTTTTAGACCGCTATCTTTTGATTTAAAACGTTCCCACGCTTTATAACCTAATATATCATCGGCCTGATGACGATTTTTCAGGTCTTTGAATTGTGAATATGCAATATCGTGCTCTCGACACGCTGCATCTAGCGGATTAATCCCTTTGTCTCCACGTTTCAAACGCTCTGCAAGTTTTGTGCCTGGTCCACAAAATTGATATCCTGGCAAATGAAGTTCAATTGGTAGTTTGTTAATCAAGTTGTTAACGAGTCCACTACCAATTCGATACTGATATGAATTTAATTTATGTTTATAATTTATACGCATTATTGCATTTCCTTTTTTTTTTGTTTCTTGTTTATGACTATTCTGTTTCAATGACAATCGTACATTAAACAAAAACGAAATATATACTCAAATATTTATAGTATTTTCATTAGTAGTTGTAAAAATTTGTCCAATAAAACAACCACAACAACAACAGCAACAACAACAACAACAAAATGAGATTTATAAAACAAACCAGACAAATTAAAGTCGATCAAATTGGGGTGAGGGGGATAGGAGTGGAAAAATTACACATAGCCCATTGTTACCGAATTCGATACGTGCTCTAATTGTAGGGCCATCTAATTGTGGAAAGACAAACGTAATGATAAGTTTGATCGAAAGTCCCAATGGACTTAAATTTCAAAATATATACATTTATTCAAAATCGTTGTATCAGCCAAAGTATTAATATTTAATGAAATTGATTAAACCAATTAAGGGGATACACATGTTCACGTTTTCAGACAAGGAAAAAGTCGTCAGTCCAGAAAGGGCTAGACCACACTCAATAATGATATTTGATGACGTAATCTGTGATAAGCAAACAGCAATAAGAGATTATTTCTGTATGGGTCGCCACAAACACATAGACTCCTTC